GGCAGAGCGGCGGCAGCAGCAGCAGCAGGAGGTGCCGCGGGCAGTGCGGTGGCAGCAGCAGCAGGCGGTGCCGCGGGCAGTGCGGTGGCAGCAGCAGCAGGCGGTGCCGCGGGCAGTGTGGCGACAGCAGCAGGTGGGAGGTCAGGCACCTCAGGGATAGGCATTAGGGTTAATGCCAGGCGAACAGGCGTTGCCCCTTTAAGGCCCTTGGAGACCTGGGGAATAGCGTCCCTTACCGCGAGTATCCATCCTTGGCCCAGGCGTGCTGCCCGTAAGTTATACGCCTCCAAAGGCGGCAGCTGCTCATCGGCGGGGTTGGTAGCGGGAGTGACTTCCCGGATGAGCAGGAAGTCCCCGTGCCCATTGGCAGGGATGACAGCGGGGCAAAGAGAGCAAGCCCCCACGAAGATCGTCGGGGCTTCTTCCCCTCCTTTTCCCCTGCGCTTCTTCTTCTTTCGCCGGCCGGGACAGGTAGGTGGAGGCGGGGTTGCCTCTGAGAAGGAGATCGGTGACTGCCGCTTCTCCTTCGATTCGCGGACAAGCTGTTGCAAGAGCCATTGCGTGCGCTTCTGTGCGTGCAAGAGCCATTGCGTGCGCTTCTGTGCGTGAGGTTACCTCCTGTAGGAGGGTCCAGCTTTGCTCCGCCAAGGCGAATAAGCCGGGGTCCTCTCGGACCTCTGGCTGTTCTCGCCAGTACGCTACTTTGTGCAGCAGGATGAGCCATAGGTCTTCCTCCTGCTGTGGTGCATCGTTTGGGAGTTCTGTCATTCTGTCACGTTTGCAGAGCAGGCGAGCTGAGCCGGACCGACAGGTAGAGGGGTTTTATTAAGGGCAGACTTGCGACGAACATCAAACATTGCAACAATACAATGACAGAACTGGGGAATACTGACTGTGACACAGACTAAATACGCAAGACAAGCCAAGAGGAACAGGAAACAGGTGATGACAATTGGGAATTAACACGAGGTAACGAGGTGGGCGTGGCACACACGAGGATCGGACGAGCTGGGCGTGACAGTACACGTCTAAGAAAATCTTTCCTTTCTTGCCTATAGTTAGTTCAAAATGCAACTACTAGGCTTTTAACTCAATCTGGCCAGAGAGCACATATTACCTCCATTTTGTACCCACTTCATTGGCTTCTGGTTGAGTATGGAATTAATTTAAAAATTTTGGTACTCCCCTACAGAGCTCTACATGGAATAGCGCCCAAATACACTCACCTAAACGATTATTAGGAACACCTGTTCAATTTCTCATTAATGCAATTATCTAATCAACCAATCACATGGCAGTTGCTTCAATGCATTTAGGG